CACTATAGGATGCTCACTAGCCTATAACATAGTTCAGCCTGAGTAGAAGGTGACATATAAAACACGCTTTTCAGCGGCCAAGTACCTAGACCTATAAGGGAACATTAGCTATATCTAGATACTCAACCTTTGCAATATACGCACCCTAACCGTGATCAGGAGACTCAAGCTCGTATCACGGTACCATAAATATATATATAAATTCCTTCCTAATGCAGAAAGATAAAACAAACATCTGTTATGTCGTTCAACTGTTTTAGTTGACAGAACATGCATTTATGTAGGATTTAACTGTTTTAGTTAATCCATTCCGTATGTATGAAAGGGTAGGACTTAACTTTTTGATCTAATCCATCCCTGATATGTTAGCGTCCCATACCGGTACATATAATGCAAATGATCCACCAGTGATGCACATTCATTAGAACATCAAGTATATCCATGAACTAGCATAATAGAAAACAGGTATTATTAAGATCCTATTATGCATCCAGTATATGATTATAATCATAAAACTCCTGTTAAATTGTTATAGTATTGTTAAACAATTTAAATTATCCACATCCATCCAATTGACAAAATAGAAACTAAATCAGTTCATCAATTAACAACCATAACAGGGTATAATGATTATCAGACTTATGAACTGAGCACAAAATACCATTCAACCCAAACCATACCCTCTTACTAGTTCATAAAAATCATTAAAACAAAGACTAGTAATGCAAACCTCTTTAACCCCCTGACGGCATAAAAATTTATGTTTGCATCATATGACGTCCTTTTAATCCTCCAACTTAAAACCTGTGCTTGATATAGTATAACACAGAGAAGTCAAACTGTACCTCATATAAGTCCCCAATGGTACAATATACTAGCCCATTTAACTGGTGAAAATAACCTAGTAGTTAGAACTTCCTCCACTCCTTACAGCATGCAACTATATATATTTAAAATTACATGTCAACCACAACCACAACCCAACCAACCCTCTTGAGACTCATATATATCCTAGATATCATTGCTATAAAATCCCAACAATATCCGTTATATCAGTTCATTGAATTTGCGGAAACAACTAGCCTTTCCGTCTCCCTTCCTTTCTTTCGAACATCATACACATTAATAATGTTTATGTTCATGATGCCCCTTAGAATTAAACCCTAGCATAAACCAACTATTTAAAGGTTCCAATAGGCAAATTTTTAAGTATTTAGACTCCCTTTATTTTCTAGAAACTCTGTTTAAGGCCCCAAGGTCAAAATAAATACCGAAAATACCCCTAAAGGGGTATCTGTTCAAGGGAGCCGGCTCCCCCCCATGGGAGCCGGCTCTTTATCTTCCAGAGCCGGCTCTCCCTCATGGAGAGCTGGCTCTACTTTAATGTGCTCTTTAATTATGACAAATGATTCGAAATAATCTAGGTTTTCATGTGCCATATTGGTCTAATAAAACATTTGCAAGGTTTGCAAAATATTTCTTTTCTGAAAAAAAAAACAAAAAAAAAAAAAAAAAAAATATCTTCAATTTAATGAAAACACACGATAATGAAAAAAACACTACAAATATACTTTATTGAGCGACTCTAAAATTCCATTATCATTCCATTGTTATCGAAAAACTCTTTCTGTCCGGTTTAAGGGACAACCAAGATTGAAGAAAATTCTCAAAATAGTCATGACAACATCTTGGATCCTTCCATATCAACATCTTTAATCGACAACAGGTGATTTGTTCTTATTGTATTGGATATCCTGGCTGAATCCAGGACGAATAACTTAGCAGATTCAGTAATTTGTTTTGGAGAAGAGGAAAAAGGCAATTCGAATGAGGAAGTCATTAAAAATCCAAAACTAACAGCCTAACAGTTCTACAAAACAGCTTGAAGGCCTGGCTTGACCATGGTGACCTATAAATCCTATCTATTAACAGCTAACTTGGTATTAACAGTCAAACATGCATAATAATGTAAAATGAACCAACAAGAATTATATATATGATTAGATTCTTTATAAGAAGAAAGTCAAAATTTCACCCATTATATAAGAGACCCAGTTTACATTTTGACCCATTATATAAGAGACCCAGTTTCACATTTTGACCCATTATATAAGAAACCCAGTTTCACAACTTTTATTTGACTCAAATTCATATATTCCTTTCTAAAATTCTCTCACACAATCCTAAATTCTTTCTCTCTCTCTTTCTCTCCCACTATCTCTCTCTAAAATTCTCTTTCTAAGATTCTCTCTGTATCATGAACTCCTCGTGTATGTAATACTACGGTTCAAAAGAAACCTATGTTTACATCTGTACTTTAAAGGAGGACGACCTGATTTATTCATTTAATTATGTATTCTATAAAAAGCTTAACAAATGATTATATATATATATATATATATATATATATATATCTATCTTACCTTCATGCATGTCTAGTTACAAAATAAAATAATATAAATTTAAAGAATTTTCAAAATAAATTATAGGATTTACATTTATCCATACATATTTTTACAAGTTTTTATCCATCTAAAATAAAAAAAACTATAATAATGAGATTATCCAAAATAATTAAATTTTTTTTTTTTTTTTCCTAAAACGGGTTGGCGAGTCATGACGGATTGACCCGACTCATTTTCATCAAACCCATATTTAACCCGTTACAAGCGGCTCGAATATGGGTCACAATCCATATTTGACCTACCCATATTTGACAATGCCCAAACTCGACCCAACCTGCCCGTTTGCCATCCCTAATGTATATCAATTCACTTATCACATAATTACCAATATCACATTTCACATATATAAACCATAATTGCCACAATTAAAATATACACATCAAAAGCATGCTTTTTGTTATGTTTTCAAATTTTACCATTTTTCATTTTCTGGAATTTTTTTATTTTTTGAGGGTATTTTCGTCTTTTCTTGGTTTGTGTGCCGAAAACCGTGGGGTGTGCCAATTGTGTCCTAGTGTTGGTTGGGACATTTCATTGTGTTCAAGGCTCTTTGAAATGTAAAGTTTGTTATTTTTGCATTTTTCCATTTTTCAGGTCGAATGGTCCCGTGCGGGACCCTTTACCGGAATTGTTATGTACGGGGATGTTGTTTAGGTCCATTTGCATCACATTTATTTTATTTAATGTGTTATATGTGGTGGAGAATTGTTATGTGTATGAATATATATATATATATATATATATATATATATATATATATATATATAATTGTGGTGTAAAAATAAAAAGAAAAAGAATTTTTTTTTAATTAAAGTGGTGGGACCCACCACTTATACAAATTGTGGCCAAAAGGCCATGTTGGCCTCACATTTTCACTCACTGCCATAAGCTCTCTATTTTTCCCCCTTCTTGATCCATTTTCTTTTTCTTTTCAAAACAAAAATTTAATCCTTAATTTCTCTTTCATCTTTTGGTATTTTTTGGAGCCGTTTGAGGCAAAACGAAGAACAAGTAGAGATTTACGATTTGATCAGAGCAAAAGTGGTTTTGGTGCAATCTAGGGATTTCAAATTTAGGACCCATTTTGAGGATTTTTCTACAAAATTGAGGTAGGGGTTTCTAATTCACATTTTCTTGGATTTTAATGAATTATCTTTCATTAATTGTTGTAAAGCATGTCTAAATTTTGTGGATTCTTGCAAAGGTGACTTAATTTTTATACAAGTGATGTGTGGTTATGTGTTAATTGTTATTTAAGAAGAAAACATGCTTAAATGATGTATATAAGAAATGTGATTATGTGTTAGTTGATGTTTTATGTATAAGCATGCCTATGAAGAATAGAATTTGTGCCTTGTATGTTTAATATGTTAAATCAATGTTGAATGAAAGCATGAATTATGCATTTTGAAATTTATTATGGAAAACATGTGTGAAATTCAAAAGTTGAATTGTGTTAAGAAGCATGAAGCATTCATGCATCCATTGGAAAATAAAGAGAAAGGGAAAAGTGTTTTTTAAGTAAATGAAATCGTTTTGAGAAAATTATTTTCGAAAAGTGTTTGCGAAAACTGGACGCCTAGGAGGCACATTGTGGTCTGTGGTGTTAGTGTAGTCTAGAGGGGACTAGAGATTGAGCTAACTAGGCCGGGTGCGACGCCTTGTAGGTGTCTTCTGGTCGTGGATATTTAGCCAATCCTCCCTTTGTGACACCTTGGAAGTGCCTTGGGTCGGATTGCACTAACGGTTTGGAAGTTAAAACGGTAATGTTTCGAAAAATGGAGAGCGACATGGGCATGTCATTGCATTTCATTGGCATACTTGGTATAATGGTGACTTGAATGACAATTGTGGTTATATTTGACGTTGTGGTTATAGATTATATCCCTGGTATAGTATGATCCAATTCTCTTGATTTCTATTCTATACGTGGATTCACAGGGTCATAAGAGGTGTGTCTTAGACACCTCATACTAAGCGTTTAGTTCACCCCATTATTTAACATTTTTCAGAATATGGGAAGGAAGTGACGGACGATACTCCTCCACAGGTCTTGATGGGTTAGTGGACTGTTTTGACATACTTTGTAGTTATGATCTCATTTAATTATTATTATTATTATTATTTATTTTTTTTATTTTTTTTATAAACCCTGGAATAACACGTATAATATGCATTGACATAAGAAAGGACGGTAGTGTCCTTAGTTGACCTCGAGTTCGGGTAAAGATCCGGTTAGTGATTCGAACCCACGGGTTCGGGTCGTTACACTTTTGACCAAATTAAAAATGAATAATTCACCAAAATCAAAGAAATGGGCCTTAGAAACCCTTACCTCAAGAAATTAAAGAAAACCCCCAATTTTTGAAAATCTCAAGATGACCTAAATATAATTGTGCTTCATCGCCGCAAAGCTCTCGTCTAACTCAATAACTTTGCCTTTAGTGACCAAGTGAAATTATAAATGGAAGAATATAGATATAAGCTTGAAATGAAGAAAGAAAAAGAAAAAGAAAAGAGAAGCTGTTGAGAGGGATGAAGAAGTCACGCAAGGGGGGAGGAAGAAATGGTCAGGTATTACCATATGGTCATTTATAATGACTATAATCAACTGTGGGTCCTACGGGCTCAAGAATATCCATTTTGTCTTATATGCATATATATATATATACTAAATACACCGCAAACGCATCTTTAAACAAATAACCACATAAACATGCACTAAATATGCATGAAGTGCAACGACCTTGAAAAATAGCCCCGTACATGACAAATCTTATTGCGGGTCCTACCCGGGATCAACTCTCGGGACTCACCCGGCACACTCCACAGTATCCGACAAGCAAAATGAGACGAAAATGAAATAATTCCGAAAAATTGAAAAATTCCAAAAAATGAAAAATAAGAAAAATGAAAAGTGTTGCTTATATCTTTCAGTAAGAAAAAAATGAGTCAAGAACACTTTTAGGAATTAAACATGTGCATAAATGCAATTTTTTTTTTATATTCTATCTAATTTAATTTTAATAAATTATACTTATACATTTACTATATATTTATATATAGATTATCAAAAAATATGAAAAAATAAATAAATTTTATTTATTTAAAGATAAACATAGTTGATTATTTGAATAAGAAATACTTATGATTTCATAGTCATTGATTAATTATATTTGATTAGTTTATTTCTTCCGTGGTTTTCGTGATATGGTCAAGTTGAATAAAATGAAAACTTATTTTAATATTTATTTATTTATTTATTTTATTATTCATTATATTTTCTTTTGATATATTTACAAGAATATGATATATAAAATAAATAAATAAGACATCTATAGCGGAATTTTTTTTCACGAATTTGTAATTCATAATATATATATATATATATACCTTTGTGTGTGTAACTAGGGTATTTGAATTTTTATTTTTTCATTTTTTTTTAAAATCGAATTTTTATATTGTATATATATATATATTTTTTTTTTCGAAAAAATCTAATTACACTGTTTTTTTTTAATCGTATTTTACTAATATACGGTACCACATAAAGTAAAAGTAACGCCGTTTGGGTATTATGCGCGTCTTCCCTTTCTCGGTCGACTTTCTCTATACAACCAAAGCAGATGAGATCTTTGATTGCTGTCATCTGTCTACCCGAAATTGAACTCTCTCCCACACCCTGCAAAGGAATGATTAAGGGAGACTTTCATTATATTTAAATATATATGTATATGTATTATATGTATATGCATGTGTAATTGGTTATGAGATTTCGATGCTTGTTTGATGGTTTTGAATGTGATTTGATAATTTGAATTTTATGTTCATTTGCAGGTGAAGTTGATCATGTTCTCTCGTTTGATTCGGCTGAAATTTCAGGTTTGTAATTGCATTGTAGTGTTGTATTCCATTTGATATATATATATATATATATATATATATATATATATATATATATATTTCGTAGTGGTTCTCATACACATGGAGGCTTGAACCCCGAAGGGCAGGTCAATGCCCGTTGGTCATTTGATATATATATTTAGAGAGAGAAAAAACGAATTTGAGAGAGAGACGCAGAGAGTATTTTGATTTTGGATACAAGAAGCAGCCCATATTCATGGCGTTAAGATATATATAGAAATTAAATTGCTCCCCTGCGTGGAGCACTGTCCGCCTCTCGATTGAGGAGTCAATATATGAACTTCATTGCTGGACTAGACAGTTAGTTGTTACTAGTTGTTGTAGTTTTTATGGTTGATAATATTTACAATTCCAAATTCAAGATCTTCTTCATTGTGATCCTCCCTTATTTCTTTTTCTTTTTTTTTGACCGTTTAATTTTCTATGTACCCTATGTTTTTCGGATTAATTTAATTTCCATAAGGTTTGGAAGGACTGGAATTGTTCATCCATGGATGAATATCATGCAAAAGTACTGCCCAGCCTCGGATTAATTTAATTTCCATAAGGTTTGGAAGAGCTGGAATTGTTCATCCATGGACAATGACACCTGCCCAGCTTTTCTTAAGCCGATCCATTCACCGGGGCATATGGAACCTACCAAATTCGAAAACCATTCCCTTTTTTCCTTTGCCCACGATTCAGTTCCAATTGGCAACAATATTCATCCTCACTCAATCTCTACACATGTTGTTGAGACGCTTCCACGTGTCCCGGACCGTCTCCGAGATCCTTGTATTTTTCTCTCCCTTTCATATATATATAAATTTTATTTTGAAATTGTTCAATGTCAATGATGTTTTGCGTGCATTTTGTCACATATAATATATTTATATCACACGTTCAAGAGAGTGATCATATATCCCATTCTATGGTGGAAGTTTTTATTGAAGACAGTGTAACAACAAACACTCATATTGCAAAGTACATTGATGATCAAAAGCATTATCCTTTAAATCGTGAAGTCAGCTTCCAATTGAGGATTCTTCCGTATTTCTACAAAGTGTGTGTGTGTATGTATGTGTTGCTACTGATCATCAATTAACATTTTCATACTTTGTCATGATTTTGATTTCAATCTGCAGGCTGGTATAATACTAGGACCAACTTTTCTGGGACAAATTCCGGGGTTTACTGAAACATTGTTCCCCCTACAGAGTCTTTTTTTACTGGACTCGTTAGCGAAAACTGGTTTCATTTTGTTCACGTTCCTTGTGGGAGTGAAGATGGAACCAAGCATGGTGGTGAGAACTGGTAAAAAGGTTTGGACCACGGGACTTGTATCGGTCTTACTTCCCATATTAGTGGCCATGATTTTTTCTGCATGGCTGGATCAAAATATAAGCTTCACTATGAGGGCACCTATCAATAACATTATATTAACACAAACCATAAGCCCATTTGCTGTCATTGCTTGCCTCCCCAATGACCTAAAAATCACAAACTCTGAGATCGGCCGCGTTGCTCTAGCTACAGGATTGATCAGGGAGTTACTCAGTTTAGCAATCCATACTCAAGTCAACTATGCTAGAGTTTCGACACTAGGTGGATCATTTATGACCGGGGTACTAACCCTAGTTCTGTTTATAATTTTCATCATTACCATTGTGTTCATTCTGTGCCCGGTGTTTCTATGGATTATTAAACAGACACTGGAAGGGAAGCCAGTGGACGTGCTCTATATTGGTTTCATTTCTTGCGGGGTTCTCCTCTCGGCCACAATCAGTTACTTCTTAGGGACTCAGATGTTCTATTTTGGTCCTCTGATACTAGGCCTGGCCATTCCTGTTGGACCACCTCTAGGATCCACACTGGTAGAGAGGTTCAAAACCTTTTCCACGGGTTTACTTACGCCATTGTTTATGACTTTCTGCGGCCTGAGAACAAATTTTCATGTTATGCAAAATCATACTTACTGGTACTCTAACTAAATTCATAGGGAGTTTTCTTTCTTCATTGATGTGGAAAATGCCTCTCAAAGATGCAACTACTCTTTCACTTATCCTGAGTACTCAAGGCGTTGTCAAGATAGCCGTGCTTCACAGCTACTTGCAAAATAAGGTACATAACAATTCTCAAGAAGCACTGTTCAATAAAATGTCCCAAACACAATGCAAAATTTAGCTTTTAACTAATGACCAAACCAGAAGAATAACTGAGTTTATGGTATGGATCTACTAGAATTTATAGAATGTTACGATATAATACATACCGTGACTTAATTAAATTATTTTCACCATCTAGATATGCTTTGTAATTGAACTTCTTCTTCTTTCGAGTTTGTAGATGAACCAAAAAATTGCACTTACACTCAGTTTGAACTAGTTTGTTCATTTATTTGTACAATTTAGCATTCATGAGCCTGTGAAAGTAAATGCTTATTTTCAGGCCATAAGCCTTAAATGATTGCAACTGATGCCTTAGAAATTTCTATGTAGTACATCAACATATCATCAATATTTATCCTTCAATTAATAAACTGTTATTATCTTATTCAACAAGACTATTAACATTCTCTTTCTAAAATTGGAGCTCAGACATTAACTGAAGAAGTTTTCTCTGTGGTAACTCTATCGGTCTTACTAACAGCAGTAATCGTACCCCATCTTGTGAGATTTTTGTATGACTATTCGAAGACATATATAGGCTACCAGAAAAGAAATATTCTACGGTCTACAGACAATGCCAGACAATGCCGAGCTGCGAATATGTGTCTGTGTCCATAGACAAGACGAGGCCTTGGCAGCCATTAAGCTACTTGAAGTTTCCAATCCTACCCAAGAAAGCCCTCTGCTAGTCCATGTACTCCACCTCATGGAGCTCAAAGGCCGAGCCACTCCACTCTTAATCAACCACCAGTTCGGCCAAAAGATATCCGCTGCCTCTCACTCACGGCAAATCATCGACGTTTTCAATAAGTATGAGAATCAATTCTTAGGATTGGTCAATGTGCATGCCTTCACTGCAATATCAATGCTAAAGTTCATGCACCAAGACATTTGTTCGCTAGCCTTTGACAAGTTGGTGTCGCTAGTAATTCTTCCATTTCATAGGAAATGGAATTCTAACGGCACAATGGTTGTGGACAACAAGATGTTGAGGTCTATCAACCTTCAGGTCATGGAGTTGGCCCCTTGTTCGGTCGGCATTCTTGTTGACCGTCGCAAAATGCACCGCACCACGCCAGTTTCGCCACTGTATCGTGTGGCTGTACTCTACTTGGGAGGTGATGATGATCGCGAGGCGCTGGCTTATGCTAAACGGATGGCGCAATGCCCAGCTGTTCACTTGACAGTTCTGCGGTTGGTGGCGGTTGAAACACGGGTGAGGACAACTGGGAAACCTTGCTTGACACAGAGAATTTGAAGGACATAAGACTGCAAAGTTCATTTAGAGGTAATGTAATGTATAGAGAGGAGAAGGTGAGTGATGGACTGGGCACGACTAGGATACTCCGTACCATGGGGGATATTTACGAGCTGATCATGGTGGGGCGGCTCCACAGATTGGATTCACCGATAGTATCAGGCCTGTTAGAGTGGGCTGAGTTTCCGGAGCTTGGGGCAATCGGAAATGTACTCGCATCCCCAGATATAAGTACCAGTTTCAGTCTTGGTGGTGCAACAACAGTACACCAAGTTTAAGCTAAAGTAGCAATTAAGTTGAGGTGCTAAAATGTACAGCTAGTACAGGTATTTGAATTAACATATATTATTGTGCAAAACATCGGGTATTAATTCAATTATGTGCAAAACATCTGGCATTAATTCAATTATGTTTTCGAATGAAAATATTATGGTCAAATCAAATTATTCACAAATTTTTTCCTGCATTCATGTGTCATGACATTGCCATTAATTTTCATTTTGAGTGCCATTGCTTTCAAACAATAGGCAAGGTCCATTTTCATTTAACGATTAGAACATCTGCCAAGTGTTTGTGATTTTATTACTGAGAGTTCTCTATATATGTGTGTGTGTGTGTGTGTGTGTGTGAGTATCATATATTTTGTGATGAATTTTGGTGTGAACCTGCAGGCTGGTATAATACTAGGACCGACTGTTGAAGATGCATTGTATCCTGAGGAAGGATGTGCTTTTGTCAAAATGTTACGGAACTTGCATAAATGTTCCTGATGGGGAGTAAAGATGGATCCAAGCATGGTGTTGAAATCTGGGAGAAAGGACTGGGCTATAGCCATTTTTTCCGATTGCAATCCCCTTAGGATGCAATCCCCTTGGGATACACCTTGATCATCTCTGAAAATGATTTCGGTGACTTTTATTTCCACCATTGCGTTCGGGCATTACCCATTGTTTCCGTGGATTATCCGACAGCCTCCAGAAGGGAAACCGGTAAAGAGCAGTGTACATCAGTTTCATTTGCTTCGCGGTACTTGCCTCAGCCATTGCCATTGACAACTCGGGATATTTGCCAGTTTAGGATCAACACTGGAGAAAAGGTTAGGTACCTTCACAATAGGGGTTGGCTACGCCGATGCTACTAACCTACAGTGGAATGAGAAGAAACTTTAATGAAATACATCATGTTGTGAGATTCAATGCTGCAATATTGGTTTCATGTATCTCAGTTCTTTGTCTAGCCCTCATATTGAGTACCCAAGGTGTAGTGGAGTTGGCTGATAAATCTTGAAAAGCATTTTCTAGGTTATTTAATATAATCTCGGACAAATGTGACTCCAACTTGGCAAATTGTGGAATATCTGCTTGCAGGTTGGATTAGGGTTACGTGGAGAGAATAACTTTCACTATTTATAAATCAAGAAGTGAATATCACAATGATAGATAAAATACTTATTACCACTCACTCAATCGCACCCACCATTGGTGCTCTACTACTCATTCTCGACCACCAATTTCAATGAAAGTTGCATACTTTCCTCCCTTACACCCGCTCTCCTTTCTCTTCACATCACTCACCAAAGCTTTTGTTCTCTCTATTTCCAGAGTCCTTCAATAAGGATTGCAGAAGCCCAATCCGAGTCGTTCACGTTATCGCAGTACAAATTTATACTTTCGATCCTTTAATAGATTGCAGAAGCCCAATCTGGATTGAGCCCAAATTAGGTCTCCATTTAGCCCAAGATTGCTAGTACTAAGCTTCCAGCCCATCAATCAAACTCGGCTGGCCCAAGATATTTTTGGCCCAGACCATATGGGAGTAAATGAATCCTGCTAATCAAAAGAATCAACATAGAAAGAAAGTTCTGTATAAGGAAAGTTTGGCATGGAAAGAATTATATAAATGAAAGAACTTTATTTGTAAAGAATGATATATATAGAATGAATTAGAAGACAAGCAAAATCAGTCCTATCATAATTCCGTCACCTTTTTGTATATAAATAGAGGCCTAGACCTCTAATAAAGATCATCAAACAATATTCACTTTTCTCGAGTAATTCTTGTTATTTATTTTTTATCTTGAGTGAGTTGTTGTATATAAATAGAGGCCTAGACCTCCAATAAAGATCATCAAACAATATTCACTTTTCTCGAGTAATTCTTGTTATTTATTTTTTATCTTGAGTGAGTTGTATTATTTCTTTTAAATTCTTTTATAGAGAGAAATTTTGCACCAACACTCCTTCAATAAGGATTTCCGGTCATCCAACAAAAAGTTACCACTCTAGTAATAAAAACCTAATGAGAAGCAACATCATACACAAATGTACAACCTTTAGAAAAGAATGTCTTCTGTCTTTAAGAAAGATCTGTAACTCATGAGGCAAGTGCGACCGGTTGAACTTAGCGAAATGATACAATATGAACAAGTTGAACCAATTGGACTCAAGTGCGACTTGCATTGAACATTTGTTAACATAAATAAGTTTTGAACATTTATTAACTGAACTGAGTATTGAACATTCTCTGATTTTGATTAGTTAAATACATTTTCAACTTCCCTCAAAAGAATGACAATATGACATTCATATTAGTAAACATTTCCTTCTTCAGTATTGTCCACAAAAAATAAAAATAAAAATAAATAGAACAAAATGTTTTAACCTGACAAAATTACCTTTTTAGTTTCACCGAATTTTTTATGATTCTAAATTCAGACCCAATCCTGAAATAAATCCTAGTTAAATAAGTTCCCGGTTGCATTTAAATCGAATGTAACTAATAAATGTCTAGAAGCACTTTAGAGGCACAGTAATCGCGAAACCAAACGCTTATTTTAGTATCTAGCGTCCATTGTTATAGTTTGCGAAATGGCTGTTTAACGAAGCAAATGGAGAATGGAGAATGGAGAAAGAAAGGGAAGAGTGATTACATTCTTTTGCAATTTTGATTAAAAAAATTCTATTTAAATTTTCTATAATTGCTTTCAGAAGTAAAGATCACCCATTTTTCCAATGGAGTAATATGAATCAAGATTGGGAAGCAATATATGTATGGTACTACTTGAATTCATGCATAATGGGTTCATCCGATCTCATTTCAGACAAATAAGAAACAATAGTTGCATAATCCATAAGAAAACCGAGCCCAAAAGCAAACTAATTTGCCCAACCCATACCGGTCGAGGTTTGGGTCTTCTTCAATATTGAGAATGCTCCTCAAATGAGCAATTTAACAAGAGAGATCGGATCTAATTGTTATATTTCGAAATTTGTAAGTGTCTAATTGTACGCTAATCTTCCACTTTTTTCTTTAACCGCTAACTCTTATAAAAATATATATATATATATATATATATTTTGTAATTAGAATAAGGTGCTAAAAAAAATAATTGGAATAAGTTGGCGTTTTATTTCGTCATATTTGTTGTTATACTATTAGTTTAACGCATACATACTTTCGGTTTTATAGTATATACGCGTTTTACCTTCTCTCTCTCTCTCTCTCTCTGCAAAGGGAATGATGATATAGGGAGCTGATATACATAATATCTTATGTACTTTTAATATATATATATTTATTGTTGATTAGCGAATTGTTACTTTGGGATTCTTAATACGATTGGGGCCTAGAAGATACCCGAAGAAGATTAGGATTCTTTGTATTTACAGGGCATTAAAATCAGCTCGCCAATATATACATGAATTATATGTATATGTATAAGAGTTTGAATATATTTTGAATGTGATTTAATGATTTGGATTTTAGGTTAACTTGCAGGTGTGGAAGTTGATTATGTTCAGAGTCTCTGTTCGATTAGGCTGAAATTTCAGATTTGTAATTGTAACCAAAGATTGCATATGAAAATCTTTTTGATATATATATGGAGAGAGAGAGAGAGTAATTTGAATTTTGTATATGAAAATGATTCCCTGTCTAATCAAAGAAGAGATTGTATTTTGATAGCGTGGATAAACTCAAGTAGAGAGAAAGGCCTGACGGTTAAACTACTGCCTAAATAGCATTTACTCAAATAGCATTACTGGGTTGGACAAAGGAAGCAGCAGCCGATTTCCATGGCGTTAACAAAGACAGAAATACCTAAAACAAAATTTAGCCACCTCTACGTACGTGGAGCTCTGTCCACCGCTCGATTGAGATGGACTCCTTCGCGTCCATCTGGACTCCACAATTACTTGTTGAGAAGAAGAAGGTACCAGCTACAACTGGTTTTATAGTTTTACAGCTCCAAATTCAAGATATTCTTCATTCGCTCTCTCTCTCTCTCTTTCTTTTTCATTTTTTTTTTGTTCTGTTTAATTTTCTATATACCCTTTTTTCGGATGAATGAATTTCATTGGCATAAGGTATGACAGATCCAGAAATTTTCATGGCTGAAAAAAACCTGACAAAATTAATACTGCCACGATCAGATGATGACTTCTGCGTAGCTGAACTTAGGCCGCTGCATTCATCTGGCATATGGAACCTAATACGAGATTCAAATTCCTTTCTCAATTATACTTTGCCCAGGCTTCAGTTGCAATTGGGAGTAATTTTCATCCTCACTCAATCTATACACACGCTGTTGAAACGCTTCTACGTGTCCCGAATGGTCTCCGAGATCCTTGTATTTTTCTCTCCCTTTCTTCCCCAAATCATATATTTTTGTATGCATCATTTTAAATTGCAGTGTCCGAGGATTGAAAGAAGTTTGTGTGTGTGTGTGTGTGTGTGTGTGTGTGATTTTGATTGTGTGTGTGTGCTTTGATTTTGATTTTGATTTCAATCTGCAGGCTGGTATATTACTAGGACCTACTTTTCTGGGACAAATTCCGGGGTTTACTGAAACATTGTTCCCTACAAAAGGAAATAAATATCTGGACGTGTTAGGGAAAACCGGCTTCATGCTTTTCATGTTCCTGGTGGGAGTGAAGATGGAACCGAGCATGGTGATGAGAACTGGTAAAAAAGTCTGGGCTTTGGGATTTGTGTCTGTCTTCGTTCAAGTATTTGTGGGCATGACCGTTATGTCCAAGGTGGACGATTATATAAGCTTCACTGTGTCGGCATCTTTCAAATACACTATATTAACACAGACCTTAAGCCCATTTGCGGTCGTTTCTTGCCTCCTCAATGACCTAAAAATCACCAACACTGAGGTCGGCCGCGTTGCTCTAGCTACAGGATTGGTCAGGGAGTTGCTCAATTTAGCGGTACATACTCCACTCAACTATGTTAGAATTTCAAAACTGGGCGGGTCGGCTATGGTTGGGGGAAAAGCCCTATTTCTTTATATACTTTTGATCCTTGCCGTCTCGTACATCATGCAGCCAGTGTATCTATGGATCATCAGAAAGACACCGGAAGGGAAGCCAGTGGACCCAGTCTACATCGCTTTCATTTCTTGCGGCGTTCTCTTATCGGCCATAGCCTGTGACTTCGTAGGGACACGGATGTACTATTTCGGTCCTCTCATACTCGGCCTCACAATCCCTGTCGGACCACCTCTCGGATCCACACTGGTAGAGAGGTTCGACACCATTTCTGCGGGTTTCCTTACGCCAGTGCTCATGACTTTCTGCGGCATGAAAACAAATTTTCTTGTTATACAAAACTTCAGAATCATCTATTTGTTATGGACCATCCTATTTTTTGGTACTCTAACTAAATTCGCAGGGAGTTTTCTTCCTCTATTGATGTGGAAAATGCCCCTCAAAGAAGCAATTACTCTTGCACTCATCCTGAGTACTCAAGGCATTGTCGAGATCGCTGGGCTTCACAACTACACGCGAAATCAGGTACTTAACAATCCTTAAAATGTCCCAACACAATTAATGCAAAATTTAGCTTACTAATGAGCCAATTAGAAGAATAACTGAATTTATAGTATGAATCAACTACACATACAATACAAACTGTGAATTAAATTATTTTCATCATCTATATATGCATGCTTTTCAATTGAACTTTTTTTTTTATCAGTCTATTAATAAAATGTTGTCATCTTATTCAATTACACTAAAAACTCTCTCTCCCCCCTCAAATTGAAGCACAGACAATAAATGAAGAAACTTTCTCCATTGTGACTCTTTCAGTCTTACTAATAGCAGTGATCGTACCGTGTCTTGTGAGACTTCTCTACGACTATTCGAGGATATATAGAGGCTACCAGAAAAGAAATATTCTACACACTCCAAACAATGCTGAGCTACGAATATTTGTCTGTGTCCATAGACAAGATGAGGCCTTGACCGCCATTAAGCTACTTGAAGCTTCCAATCCTACCCGAGAAAGTCCTCTGCTAGTCCATGTACTCCATCTCATGGAGCTCAAAGGCCGAGCCACCCCACTATTAATCAACCACAAATTTGGCCAGAAGATAACCACTGCCTCTCATTCACAATCACGGCACATCATCGACATTTTCAATTACTACGAGCATCAATTCTTAGGGTTGGTAAATGTGCAAGCCTTCACTGCAATATCAATGCCAGAGTTCATGCACCATGACATTTGTTCACTAGCCTTCGACAAGTTGGCCTCGCTAATAATACTTCCGTTTCATAGGAAATGGAATTCTCAAGGCAACATGATTGTGGACAACAATATTTTGAGGTCTATAAACCTTCAGGTCATGGAGTTGGCCCCTTGTTCCGTCGGCATTCTTGTTGACCGTCGCAAAATGCGGCAGCGCACCACGCCACTGTATCGTGTGGCTGTACTCTTCTTTGGAGGTGAAGACGACCGTGAAGCACTGGCTTATGCTAAACGGATGGCCAAATCCTCATCTGTTCACTTGACAGTTCTGCGGTTAGAGGCAGTGGAGAACATAGGTGAGGACAACTGGGAAACTGTTCTTGACACGGAGAATTTGAAGGACATAAGGCTGCAAAGTTCACTTAGAGGTAATGTAATGTATAAAGAGGAGAAGGTGAGAGATGGACCGGGCACTATTTTGATAATCCGCAGCATGGGAGAAAATTGTGACCTGATCATGGTGGGGCGGCAACACAGATTGGATTCACCGCTGCTATCAGGCCTGTTAGAGTGGGCTCATGAGTTGCCGGAGCTTGGGGCAATTGGAAATCTACTGATATCCCCTGATATTAGGCAACCAGTTTCAGTCTTGGTGGTGCAACAGCAGCACACCAAGTCTAAGCTACCGTAGCAATTTAAGTTGAGATGCTTAAATGTACAGGTATTTGAATTATCATTGGGCATTAATTCAATTATTTGTTTTAAAATGAAAAATTATGGTCACATCAATTTTGCCTGCATTGCCATTAGTCTTCATTTTGAGTGGTGAGTGCTAGAATGCAATTGTTTTCAAACAAGAAGCAAGGGCCATTTTTATTTAAAGATTAAAACATCTGCTAAGCGTTTGTGATAATATCAGTGAGAGTTCTACATATATATTTGTATTATATATTTTATTTCTTAATCTTAACCGCAAAACTTTAGCCAATTCTCATGAATTTTCCGAATTCCTCTCTTGATGCTTACAGATAACAAACGGTAAACTCATAGTAAGCATAGCTTCAAACTAAATTGTGATGCTTCTTCATTTGATACTTTGTTAAATATTTGTGGAGGCGGCTTGATTCTTAGGAACAAGGAAGGTCATGCTGTGCGTGTTGCTTCAGTTTTCTTTCGGCATGTCATGAATGCAGCAGCTGCAGAAGCTATGGTGCTGACAGAATGTTTGAAATTTCTTCAATGATGGGGTTACAGAGATGTAGTGATAGAAGGAGATTGTAGTTCTATAATGAAGCTTATTACTTTGGATTATAGTTTTGCTATATTTTTAGAAGTTGTACAATCTCTTATGCAAATTACACCAATTTGTCGAAAATATATTTTTCAGTAAAGGAATGCGTAAAAAAAATAAAAATAAAAATAAAAATAAAAAAAATAAACCCTACTATAAATCGGGTGAAACAAAACCCTACTATAAATCAGATGAAAATCACCTCCAATGAAATAGTGTATCATTTCCTCCATTTTGGAATGAGTGGCCCAGAAATGGCCACGTCAGTCATGTTTGGGATTCACCGTACGAAAGTGTTGTGATGCACCGTACGAAAGTGTTGGGATGCACCTTACGAAAATGTTGGGATGTACTTTCGCTCACAAAAATGGAAGAAATTGACTACTATGCAAATGGAGAGAATCCTGGTCCACTATAAAACTAGGCCTGAAACTCAACTAGGTTAAAACAGCTTGAGCCCAACCCGAAAATGGTCAACCCTAATCCAACTCTAACTCAACCTTTAACCAAAACTACTCGAGCCCAACCTATTCTTCTATTTTTAAACTCGGGTTTGAGATACCAAGTTAGAAAGTTGGTTTAATTCAAGTTACTCATATACCCAATCTCAACACTAAAAATTAATGTGATATTGAGTTTGTTTGAGATTTAATTACTCCTAAATACAAAAAGTTGTAAAAATTTATTACAACCTTGTAATAAATTACAAACAAATTCTTAGAATATTAATTCTCCAAAGTTTTTTTTTTTTTTGGGTAAATAAATTCTCCAAAATGTTAACATACAATAAATTAATATTTAAACAAAGTTTATAAGAAGAAGAAGAAAAGAAAAAAAAAAAGGTGCACATCATTTTAATATTACATATAATGTGAATAAAATAATATTAAATTTCGAGTTCGGATTAGACTCAAATTGCTATCACCTCAGTCCAAGTACAACACTAATCAAGTTTGGGTTGAGATATCAAAAGGTAACTTAGAGCCAAACTTTAACCACAATACCAAAATTGATCAAGAATCACACAAAATAAAATATTATAATAAAAAGAATGAAAAATGATATAAATACCGAGATAAACATTTAAAATAAGAGAGTTTGATCTTATCATTCGACAAAGAGTCCTGGACTTTATTATAAATTCACCTTTCTAATATAATAAATAAATAAATAAAATTACATTTCTAATATAATAAATAAATTTACCTTTTGTAATTCACCTTCCTTTTAAATTAATGTCAATACCAATTTATCTTTATAATACAATAAATAATTTTAAATATTGAAATTTAATAAAAGAAAATCTAATTAGAGAAGAAAATATATAAATACTAAAAACTTATTTATTTAATTCAATAAAAGAAAATCTAATTAGAAAAAGAAATACTAATACTAATAATAATAATATAGTAATAGGAAATATAAATGGAATTCTAATTAGAAAATAAAATATATAATATTAAAAAACTTATTACTAAAAGTTCTACACTTGATCTTTCATTCTTCTGTTTTCTACAATAAGCAATGAAATTTATTACTATTATTATTATTATTTTAGGTAGGAAAGTTGATCTTCATTACATCATCTATAATTTTGCATCTTCAAATCCAGAAATCAAAACTTCATAGAAATGTATTGTCATTAATCGGGCCAAACGGTTACCAAAATCTATTGTCATTAAATCTACATGGCATTTTGTTTGGCTACAAGTGTGCCCTCAAGGGTATTGCTTGTAATTTTTCAGTGCACGGACGTGCCAGGATCGTCATCTATGTAGCTAAAGAAAGCCAAGCAAATATTCCTATTGATTTTACAGTCGTTAGCAGCACTGGATGCATCTATCAAAGGTTCGTTTGTGGAGAGCACTGGCTTATCTGATAGGCGATTGTGGTTGTGGAGGGGAAGAATGACCATATCAAAGGTTCGTTTCACTTCGATCCTAGTATAAGAATTCTGTTACTGTAATCTTCTCTTCATTGAGGATCAACTACAAGTTCTTAGAGCTTGTTACATTCTAAAGGGTTTACTAGTTGAACCATTGACCATTACAAACTTTAATGTAAACCCAAGTGAAGAACTCAAAGCTACAACATGAAAGCCAAGGTAACAAGCAAGAAATATAAACTTAAGGTTACAAGTGACACTATAAAAGCATACAAGTGTATGGGACGCTAATCCGGCTGCAGACACTCGAGTGCTTTTTTGCCCTAGTCACTTCGCTACAGGGCCTTGTTTGTTGATTCGACAAGAGTGGTAATCTCTCGTCCTTATTTGGTGTACACCACGCCCAGCCAAAATGCCAGGGCCGTAGTCACTGGTGGTGAGTTTGCTTATTACAGCTGTTAACTTGGACATGGTCATGAAGGAATAAGGATGCTGACATGGCTCAGAGTGAGATCCAGCCCTCCTCCTATCTTTCTGCGGACCTGGACCCCCTCCTCGTGACATCATGCCTAAGTGGACCAAATGTCCAATTTGGGTGCAAACACATTGATACCTAGACAATTCAATCATCCTCAACCAAGTAATAACATAAGGAGATAACAGAAAGCAAACAAATGAGAAGAATTATACCTGTATACACAAAGGGAGTGAAAGGATCATATCTTCTCCAAGTCTTCACTTTCTGAAATAGGCATATGAAATTTAGTAAGACATTTGCAGAAACAAAGGACAACTTTTACCCACAAAAGTATAACAAAACAACATGTAATCTTTTACTGTTAAGGGGTAACAGTACAATTAGAAATATAAAATGTCATGAAAAAGTGAAATGATGCACTTTACATGTAATGCATTAAAGTACAATTGGAAATTTTAAGTGCCCTTGAATATGTGAGGCAGCAAAGAAAGTACTCAAATTACCTTCCGCGGGCAAAAATAAAAACAAAAATAGAGTACTTAAATTTGGCAAAGACTAACCAATGCTAATGGAGGAACCTCTAGCTTAGTTTATCTGCCCCTTAAATAACATCAAATTACTCTCACCGGCGTACTCATCATTTTATCATAAATTACCATAAACCCATTCCATATAGACATAAATTACCCCTTAGTGATGACATGGATGAGTTAAGAAGGTTCAATATAAGCTATTGAAGTTCTTCCAAAAGACAGTAACTTTTTAAGTACCTCCTAAAGCTATGATAAATACTATTCAGCATTTTCTGGGAAACTTGGATCTATTTAGTTTGAAGCTCAAACACAATCAACTCAGATTGTATCCGAAAATAAATAAATACAGGAATATAATGTTTGCATATGACATGCACTAATAAACTCCGGTCAATAATTACATCTCATGATATTTAAAACAATAAAAAACAAAGCTTTATTAGATTAAATAAATTGCATATACAATTTTAAAATGGTACATAATAATAATAAATAAGCTTCATGTCTATCTCTTACTTGGCTCCGTTTTCAATTGTTTTTTGATCCTCTCGGCATTGCTCAGGGCTCCATCTAGTGATGGTGCGCTCGTCAACACTGTAAGCCTCCAGACATGATGGAGAGACATCACCAATATTATTTCGATAGACATTAAGAACTAATAATGTCTTCGCAACACTGCCACAAAGTCGAAGTGTGCACTGAAAATCAGACCAAACCTTCAATCGACCATTTGCATTACCATCCCCTGATAAAACAAGAACAGCATACTCAGAATGCACCAAAGCTGGATGGTGGCGGTAAGCAACAAAGTCCACACCATACTGAGATCCTGATCTCACAACCCAATTTTTGTTTCGAAGATGAGAATAAGCCTTAAAGTATTCAGGGAATGTATCTTCCTTGGATTTCATGTAATTCCATAACTCTTCATTGCTTTTGGTGCATTGATCTTCACCAATAATCTTGAGACATTTTATAGAATAGCACAGATAAAAAGCTTCTTCCATACCCAACTGAAACCACTGCTTATCCTTCTCGGTTGTGATAATGGGTCGACCAAAACACGCACGATTAAGAAAATCAGTTTGTTCTGTTTCTGCTCCAAGAAGTACACTACACCCTGAGAGCAGTCCATGAGAATCCAATTGAATCAGAGAAGATTGAAGCTGTGAGACTATCTCTGACATGGGATCAGCAAGGGCTTTAGCTTCTGATCCCTTACCTTTCCACCGTGGCCCCATTGAATCACAAGATGTAAAAGAAGCTGCAAAACAAGGGCTGCCTTCTATAAGTAAATCTTCTTGACTAATTGAAGACACAATGAATTTTCCACAAACTTCTAGACAAAAGTTTCATCAAGGAATACCAAAATACTCTAATATTTGCCACCCAAAAACAATATTTTATTACTTATCGAAAAAGAAAAAATAACTATATTTCATCAAACCAAGTGAAGCTCTAGAGGGAAACATCAAAAATTAAATAACCATGTCTAGTATGCTAACTCAGACAGGATGCTTTTAGCCATCAAATTGAAACGGAGCATCCATTTTTTTTGTGGTAAAAGATTTTTCACAGAAAATTTTACATGTAAAACATTTTTAGGAAAATATTTTCTGGTGTTTGGTTTAAATCATGAAAATGTTTTTCAAAAATATTGTTTTTGTTATTATTTAAAAAAAAAAAGAAAAAAAAAAAAAAAGAGTACACTCATAAAAAGAGATTCATAACTTTGTTCCAATAATCTTATGAAATCTCTTTGTATTTGGAGTCCATGTGACCTTTCTACTTAAAAAAGAACTACAGTAATAACAAAAGCATAAAGAAAAAAAAAAAAAAAAAAAGGAAAGGAAAAAAAATTAAGATTGTTAGTGAGGCATTTTATCAAACAATTGATGGACACTTAAACAACGAGGTATACTTAAAATTACAAATCCAAAGCAAAATGGACATGAATGTCTTGAAACAATGTTTAAAATGGGATATAAATCAATCGAAAGACCATAAACAATGCACCATGTAAGACAAAATCAGCTTAGTTTGTTGAAGGGCAATGGCATTATGCCCAGTCTAGAAAGTAGGAAAAGGAGACAAATCTCAACAAAACAGGACATGGACAAGGCGGCCGCGATATGGATATTTAAAAACAATATAAATTCTATAATAATGTATTTATCACATTTTCCTTAAGCCTAGTTCAAAATATTATATAAACATAAAATGATTTTTTGCTCATTTTATTCCGAAACCATGAATGTAAATACTAATTTTGTTCATAACTAAAAATGGCAATTACAAGAAACAAGTAACTCATTTCATTATTTAAGTAATAATTAAGCGCTAAATCAACTTACAAACTAAAGTAGACAATTAGTTTAAAGTGAACCTCCACCATGTTCATCTTTCATCATTCATTACATATAAGTCATAAATTCAATAGCAAAACACATAAAAAAGAAAGCAGAAAGAGAAACTCCATAACCCTAATTCAAATAGTAATGTAGAATATTCTATTCAGTTTTGCAATATTTTGCAGGCCAAATATGAGCAACAAGAAAAACAACAATGAAGCAAAACGCCACAGAAATTTCCAAGAGAAACAATTGCCAAACGTGGGTTGTAGTAAATGTGTGGTTGGGTCGGTGGGTGGTAGTGAGGGCCGGGGGTGAAGTGTGCGGTGGTGGTGACTGGTGAGGCCGTGGAGTGGTAGAAATGGGTAAAGGACAGGAAATAGAAACTGAGAGAGAAAAAACCTTGAAAACTCGCAGTGGAGGAGCTTCTTCTAATCCGGTGGAGTAGGTCGCCGTTGGCAGCGGAGGAGCAGAAAGCGCAGATCTTTCGTGAATTTGGGGGAGGCAGGTCGTATTTTGGGTTTGGATGGGTTAGTATCTTGTTTTTTAAATTTTTACTATTGACCCACAACATCTTTTAAAGTTGCATTTGGGATCGATACTTAAAATATAATTGCAGAAAATACCCTTCAGAATGTGTCTCGTAAGGCCCATAAGTAACCCTTGCAGTAACTCTTTGGGCTGTAGGCCGAATTGTTCTGGGCTTGTGTAATGTTGTTAGTATTGGGCTAACCATCCATCCTGTACATTGTTGAGAAAAGTGCAAAAAAACCCCCTTGAATTATGGGGGTTTTGCAACTAACCCCCCAAACTACAAAAAAACTCCTTTGAACTTTCACTTTTTTGCAATTTGCATACTCAGGCCACCGGACAAGATAAAAGATAGTTTTACCCTTATTCAAAACTACGTCGTTTCGAGTTGAGTAGATGATATCACCGTTGTTCACAGTCGATCTTCACGACAAATAGTCACTTGTGCTAGAACACTTCCTATTCACACCAAATCAAAAAATATATATATATATTGGACCCTTTTCCCTTTTGTCTATAGACTCTATACACTACTATTCATCTTCTTCTTCGCGACTTTCTGGTAAATTAAAAAAAAAAAAAAATTAAAATCTTGCCAACCTTTTCTTTCTATCTCCCTCTTTCTATTTCTCTGTGTGTGTGTGTGTGTGTGTGTGTGTGTGTGTGTGTGTGTGTGTGTGTATCTCTGTGCGGCATCAATGGTATTGGAAGAAGTAAAAGAACCACAAAGAGACACAGAGAGGAAAGGGAGCACATCGATCTCGCCGGCTATTTATGGCGCCACCTCGTTCATGTCGTCGTTGACCGGCAACACTGACGGCAAGTAGCCGTCGTCTTCGTCGACCAGATCACCAACATGTCCAACGTGTCCCGCGAAGAACAAAAGAAAAAGTGGCAGGGACCCGAGCGGCGGAGATGGACCATCACAGCCAAGTCCTCACTGGACGACCTCTTCACAGCCGACCTCTTCACAGCGGCAGACGACGAGAGCAGATCTGACATCCCAGTGTTGTCGACGACGCAAACGGTGATGGTCTCCCGTAACTCATTGTGCCACACCTAGCGCGTCCTCATCGCCTCACCAGTAACTCCTTGTGCCGCTGTCCTTTGTCCTCTGTCGGGGCCATTTCTGGGTTCGACAGCAGCAAAAAACCATACCAGTTGTAGAGTTCGTGATTTGGGGACTTTTTTAATTTTTGGTTGAATATGATTTAGGGAAATTTCGTAAAGCCATGATCAATTTCATTTTTCCGGCTAGGATGGATTGGTTGGGCAGAATGGTGACTGTGGAGGTTTTGGGTGAAAAGCAGTGATGATTTTGGTTGAAGGTGGTGGTGGACCGGTGGTTATGGGTTTGATGTGTTCTTTGGTTACATATTTGGATTAGGGTTATGGGTGGTGGTGGTTATGGGTTTGCAGAGATGGGGGGCGGTGGTGTTGAGGCAACGGGCTTAAGGTGGAGGAGGGGATGTCGCAGATGGTAGAAGGGCATTATTGTACAAAAATTTCAATTTGTCTATCGCGTGAGAATCACGCGCTCATTTTTGGACAGCTGGTGGCCGGATGGAGTGATCTGCAACAAATTTGTATAGTTCAGGGGGTTTTATGCAATTTTGATAGTTTAGGGGGTTAGTTGCAAGTTTTGCAATAATACAAGGGGTTTTTTTGCACTTTTGTCTACATTGTTTAGCTCTCTTTTTTATATGTATACATTCAAATTTACCTTTAAAAAAAATAAAAAAATAAAAACAAATAAAATAACCCTTGTATGTACCCCGAGCTGGGTCCAACCAAAAATTTTAACCACTCGAGTTAGAGGACACACATTTCCATTGCATGTCTATGAGCTACGTCCAATGTGTGAGTTTTATTTTGATTCTTACTTGATCAAAACCATGACCCCTAGGAGAGGTCAATTTTATATCAAAATATATTAATAAAATTCTAAATTAAGAATTTTAATACAAAATTATTTTTATATTTAACTTTTTATACATTATTTTAAATTTTTCATAATGTTATTTATTTAATATATAATATTATTTATATATAATAAATATACAAAAATAATAATGCAAAATTATTCTTAATATATTTTGAACCTTTAGAAATTTTTTACTTTATAGTTAAAGAAATGATAGGTCTTCCGACCTCAATTGCCGACTTATCCTCTGAATCTATTGTGATTTTTTTTTTTTTTTTTTTTTTTTTTTTTTTTTTTTTTTTTTTTTTTTTAAGAGTTCTAACGTCGTCCAACCACGTTGGATTCGGAGGAGGAGTCAGCAATTGAGGTCGGAAGACTTATCATTTCTCTTATAGTTATACACACACTATTTTACTCACGTCCCCGTGTGTACATATATATATATATATATATATATATATTGACAAAGTACACAGTTTTGTTGAAAAATAAACTTGATTTTAGTATTTAATTAGTCATTTCAAATATTTGTCTTACATAGTGTACGTGGGAATTTAGCATGTCAGTGGGTAGTAAATTATCTTAATGAGAATTAGTAGATGAGAGTTAGTGTGATGGTGAAGGTTATGTAAAATCAAAGGTCGTGAGAGTCAAGATTAAATGGTTATGTTAGTAGGAGTTATACTTACTAAATATCATGGTAGTGTGAATAGTATGTGTAATTAGGCATTTAAATGTAATGGTTACCGACATAGTTGTGAGGCCTATATAATCATATACTCTAACAAATTTATAAAAAATATAAATGGGATTAAGTGAAGTAAAATTATTCATCCATTCAATTCTCTTCCAAATATTGTGTTTTATTTTTTTTTTTTTTGAAAAGTTAATTTCAAATTTTATAAATATATAGACTGAGAATATACAGTGCCCAAAGAGGGAAATGGTCCAACACATAGGTCAAACATAGCAAATATTTGCAGCCCTATACTACCCAAAAGCCCCAACCTAAAAAATGAGAAAGACAACCAAATGGAGAGGCTGTTGCAGACACTCCACAATCCGATGAAATCAAGGAAGCATCCTCCTCAGTAAGTGACGCCAGTGGACGTGAAGGAGAGATAGATAGTTCCTATTCATCTGTCTTCCATTGAGAGAATAAGGAATAGTTGACGATGCAAGGTTGATTCTGATTATATCAAGGGTTCCATGAAGGACTGCATTCTAACTATATTGTTTTGAGTGTTATGTGTGTATCTAGGCCACTATTTTCAACAAAGTGGCATCAAAGTAAAATCCAACAAAGTGGTATCAAAGCCTAGACAATCTTGAAGGCTTGACGAAGTTGACCCTAAAAGGTTCAACATTTTGAGAAAAACATGTTTCTCCTTAATGATGATAAAGAGGTGAAAATATATTTTCTTAGTAAGAAGATGATGTTCTCTAATTACAATAGAATGAGAATCATCATGACTTCATACCTCAAAGCATATGATTTGTGGGATGTTGATGGAGAAGAGCCCAAGAATGACATGCCCAACAAGCTTCGTGGAAAGAAAAAAGAAAAAGCATTGGTAGTGTTGCAAAAGGAATACATTAAGATATTTTGGAGTATTTTGGAGAGTCAAAAACTCCAAGTTATGTTTGGAAGATCGATGCTCGAGACTATCACTTCCAATCATAAAGGTAAGTTACTACCCATAGAGTATTGGGTACAATGCTTTGAGGATTAGTTTACGAAAGATGATTATCAAAGTCTTGACGACAAAGTTATGGAGAATTAAGAGGTGTATCATGCAAATAAAGCAAACATTTTGGAGATTCAAAATTTGAAAAACAACTTGAAATGGTGAAAGAAAGGAAGAGATGAGGAAAGTGTTGGGGAAACGGAAGTTTTAAAAAATTTATGAGGGTTTTTCAAATAAAGATCTTGATTCATGTGTAGGGACAAGTTTTATGCATGAAGAATATGATGATCCATTCAATTTAGGGATAGAAAAGTTACATCAAGGTTTGAGTAGACCTTAGATCTCTCCTCTAAAGTGAATATTCTCACTTATTGTAAATCCCTTTGCTAGATGCCTTCTCCTTAGATCTCCATCTTCTTGGTAATGGATTTGCCTTTAGGAATCACCCATAAGCCTCCATGAATGACCTTAGAGAGCTAAGCTTGTGGGAGCCTCTATTAGATGAGAACATTAACCCTAAAATTATAGAGAGAGAATTTTTTTTTTATTTTCTAAAATTATTTTACAAAGCGTAACCTAAAATATACATGGACTCCATATATATATAGGTAACATAAAAAATAATAATTAAAGACATTATATTTTTCTCAATCTCTAAAACTAACGTGACATTTCAAATCTAATAGGTCTCCAATATCAAGTTGGGTTATGAGTGAGAATTCTTTGGGCTTATTATTTTCTTGGCTACAATGAATTAATAATTGGCTCGGTCTATAGACCCAATTAAATTACTTCATGAATTAATTTCTACTCCACTAAAAGAAATTAATTGAACTCCAATTAAATAATAAATAACCTTTAAGTCAATATTGCACTTTGACTCCTCAATGCATAATTAGTTATCAGATAAATAAAACCATCAATCTGACTACTTAATTAATATATTTATTTTGGTACCATTAATTATTTCCGGTTTGATCACAATAAAATATTTGTTTGACAAAAATAATAATTTAAATAAATATATATATAATATATCATTTTATCTAAAAACACACGAAGGTCTTCGAATTACTTTGTGATCAATCATAATCAATACAAAATAAATACAAGTAGCAATGATGCAAATATTGAAAATATAACCCTCTAACTATTAATTACATAATTACCCAAAGTGTCGGTCGATGGATTCCGAAGATTCTACTGAATAAATCAAAGTAATTACTAATTAATAAAAGGGTTTATACTTTTCTCACGCTTAAGAGTCAAATACCATGACAGTGATAGGGAGCAATTACATACGACGGTTCTCGCAATATATCTCAACCTAACGCGGGTCCAGTTCAAGTCTTAGTTAATAATGAGTCCATCCATAATTACCGACTATGA